ATCTAATTGATAGTCAAGATATATATTGTAATGAAACGTGTCTTACCCCGCAATAAAATCACTTGAGCACCTAAATTAAAAACTTGAAAAGATTTGCAATCTGTCGATGCCTAATCCTGCAGTGGACCGAAATCTGCACGTTGAAATCCATGTTGTTTACGAACCGGATGTCTAGTTCGCTATGCGATTTTGATTGGACTATGCATAGACTCGTTAGTCCAGTCAAAATGTAACTCCGCAATTCCAGCCTAGTTCGGCAAGGGTGGAAACTGGACTTTTATAGTCAGTTAACGCCCTTGCCTCGGGAATATGAAAACTGCACTTTTTTAGTCAGTCAAAGCTATTGACTCTATCAATGTATTAAACTATAGACGTGGTCAGTAACACACACTACTGCGTAAACGGCTCATATACACTAACCTAAGAAGAACAGAAGCAGTATGCTTACATTCACAACTGGGTTTTTGCTGGAGATAATCGACTGATGCCAGGTTCCAGCGTTGCTCTACAAGGAAATGGCATTCTTATCGAAATGACGTCATTTCAAATGAATTGACAACATAGTTGGGACATAGCCCGCGTGACGCTCATGTGGCGTGCGACATTACTCAGCATATCTACATGCCCTGCGCCATCTGGCGGCCACGTTCAACCCCACTACAGACACATTTCAAGATGGCGGCCGCCGTCTGAGAGCGTCACGTGACCCACACCTTGTTGTCGTAGACAAGCGGGCTCGACCCCAGGAAACACGTTCGGATATTGAGGTCGGTCTGTGAAAGCAGGGAACACAACGGTGTTAACGTGTTTCATCTGTGCGGCAATCGACACATTTACTCAAATGTAGGCCTGGCGAAAGAACGGTCACATCTGCTGTGAATGACTTGACGTTTCACAAGGATTTCATCGATCACACCTTCTGCTTCGTCAACACAGACAACACAATCGTTTTAAACGACCGAAAAATGTTTTTTTGTCGCATACCTTGTTGGGTTAAATTCTTGATATACTAAACAGTAGGTCTTCAGAAACCCATGCTTGCCGTAAAAGGCAACTATGCTTGTCGTAGGATCGGGATCGGGTGGTCGGGTTCGTCGTTGACTCGGTTGATGCATGTCATCGTATCCCAATGGCGTAAATCGATGCTCATGATGTCAATCACTGGATTGTCTGGTCCAGACTCGATCATTTACAGACCGCCATCATAATGCTGGAATATTGCTGAGTGCGGCGTTAAACCACAAACAAACAAACAAACTAAACAGTATATATCCCCAAGTGCGAAAAGGTTTTGCAGTCGCCAGTAGCTTATAGTTTCACACATATATTAATCCGTGGATGTTCGGGAACTCTAATTTCAAATGACATTGAACAGTTATTAAGATATTTGAATTCCTTCCTTTTCCAACTAATTATTCCTGGAGCTTGAGGGAGAGGGAGACATAGAGAGAAGATGGAGATCAAATGGAGGAAAACAATTTAGTGGAACAAATGAAAAGTAGTCCCCAACTTGATCGCGTAGGATTCTATGGTAGAGTTGAGGTGAAATTGGGTTTAACGTCGCGTTTAAGATTAATGCACTTTCATCGCGATGAGCATGAATACACCACTCAGACACAGTATACTAACTCCGAGACGACCAGTCCCTGTTTTAGCCCCTTAATGACGAGCACCAAGTAGGGTAACAACAAGTACCATCTCTAAACGTCTTTTGGTATGACGAACACCTGCTCTCCGGGCAGACGATCTATCCACTAGACCACGGAGGCGGCATCTAATACCCCAGTCAAGGCATCTATCAAATCCGTAGGTATTTGTAGGATACTAACACGTTGACATAATCGTCACATCTTCATTGCTTATGTGCTTCAAATAAACGACTTTCACTCGTGATATTTCTGATGACGTTACTAGGCAGACAATGTGAACTCAAATATATTCCACATAGAAAAGTTTGATTAGAAAGTCCACGCATCCATAAATATATCTCATACGACATAGTGCTTCTCATAATTCCTGCTTGTGCAGAAGAAATCAATGGGCGTAGAAAATAAATGCTATATCAATACCTGATTTTAGTAGATGTCACAGTCTCCCGACATATTTTAGTAGATGTCACAGTCTTCCGACTTACCTTAGTAGATGTCACAGTCTCCCGACTTATTTTAGTAGATTTCACAGTCTCCCTGCTGATTTAAGTAGATGTCACAGTCTCCCGACTTATTAAAGTAGATTTCACAGTCTCCCGACTTACTTTAGTAGATGTCAGTCTCGCGACTTATAGTAGTAGATGTCACAGTCTCCCGACTTATCTTAGTAGATGTCACAGTTTCCCAACTTAATTTAGTAGATGTCACAGTCTCCCGACTTATTTTAGAAGATGTCAGTCTCCCGACTTATATCTGTAGATGTCTCAGTCTCCCGACTTATTTTAGTAGACGTCAGTCTCCCGACTTATTTTAGTAGATGTCACAGTCTCCCGACTTATTTTAGTAGATGTCACAGTCTCCCGACTTATTTTAGTAGATGTTAAGTCTTCCGACTTATATTAGTAGATGTCACAGTCTCCCGACTTATTTTAGTAGATGTCACAGTCTCCCGACTTATATTAGTAGATGTCAGTCTCCCGACTTATTTGAGTAGATATCAGTCTCCCGACTTATATTAGTAGATGTCTCAGTCTCCCGACTTATATTAGTAGATGTCAGTCTCCCGTCTTATATTAGTAGATGTCACAGTCTCCCGACTTATATTAGTAGATGTCAGTCTCCCGACTTATATTAGTAGATGTCTCAGTCTCCCGACTTATATTAGTAGATGTCAGTCTCCCGTCTTATATTAGTAGATGTCTCAGTCTCCCGGCTTATATTAGTAGATGTCAGTCTCCCGACTTATTTTAGTAGATGTCACAGTCTCCCGACTTATATTAGTAGATGTCTCAGTCTCCCGACTTATATTAGTAGATGTCTCAGTCTCCCGACTTATATAAGTAGATGTCAGTCTCCCGACTTATATTAGTATATGTCTCAGTCTCCCGACTTATATTAGTAGATGTCTCAGTCTCCCGACTTATATTAGTAGATGTCAGTCTCCCGACTTATTTTAGTAGACGTCACAGTCTCCCGACTTATTTTAGTAGATGTCACAGTCTCCCGACTTATTTTAGTAGATGTCACAGTCTCCCAATTTCCACCCAATCGCTTCCAGATATAAGGTGAACCGTTCAAGAATGAACTAGATCAAGCAACACTGTTTATCACTTGGGCAGGTTTAAAGAGATCAATGTATGTCTGTTTATCACTCTGGTATGATGAAAGAGATCAATGTAAACTCTGTTTATTACATAGACAAGTCGAAAGAGGTCAATGTAAACAATATGTCAATGTCACTCGGACAAGCTGAACGAGCTCATTGTAACCTGTTTATCTCACAGGCAAGCAAGACGAGCTCATTGTAACCTGTTTATCTCACAGGCAAGCTGGACGAGCTCATTGTAACCTGTTTATCTCACAGGCAAGCAAGACGAGCTCATAGTAACCTGTTTATCTCACAGGCAAGCAAGACGAGCTCATTGTAACCTGTTTATCTCACAGGCAAGCAAGACGAGCTCATTGTAACCTGTTTATCTCACAGGCAAGCAAGACGAGCTCATTGTAACCTGTTTATCTCACAGGCAAGCAAGACGAGCTCATTGTAACCTGTTTATCTCACAGGCAAGCAAGACGAGCTCATTGTAACCTGTTTATCTCACAGGCAAGCAAGACGAGCTCATTGTAACCTGTTTATCTCACAGGCAAGCTGGACGAGCTCATTGTAACCTGTATATCTCACAGGCAAGCTGGACGAACTCATTGTAACCTGTTTATCACACAGGCAAGCTGGACGAGCTCATTGTAACCTGTTTATCACACAGGCAAGCTGAACTCTGCCAATCGTCCATAAACTTGGACTTCATATCACTTTTACAAACTGGCAGGGATTTCCCTAATTAAACTTTGTGCTTTGACGTCACCAGACTTACAGGTTAAACACGGACAACTACATAACACGCCAACTGTGCCTGGAATGTCAAATTCACGTGCACTGTTTGACACGATTTGCTTATGCGGGTTGCAAGTAAAAAGGAAATCAGGAAACGATATATATCATGCAAGAACAAGAACTATTTGTGAAAACCCCATCAAACATATTTATTACAACAAGATCCAGGACTGCAGACTGCCGGAAGCCATGACGTATTGTTGCAGTGTTCCCAGTCGTCGTCGCCATAGCGAGGAGGCCACGGTGGCTGCCTCTCCACGCTGACAGGCCCAGACTGATGGAGATTCACCGGGAAAGCACCTGTTCCCTCAAATCACTTTAACCCTTGCAACACAGCCCCAGATCTACATGCTAACCTCTGTACAAAGCACTCTGTCTGAGAACACATACCTGGTTAATGCCATCTTCATTGACCAAGTGGCTGTTCATATTCCCATTGCAAGTGCTTGGGCTTGTCAAAGGCACAAATAGATATGCGACGCGACGTCTCGTCTTGCGCCAGACGGAACAGGAACCGTAGAAAAAGCAAGCAGTTGAACTGGGTAGGAATCTAATTAGATCTTAAGTAGGCTGGTGTTGATTCCTACTGAAAAATGTTGAACAAGAAATTCGATTCTCTGATAAAACATGATCTCATCTTTGTACTTTAGAGAAGGAGGTGCCTAGCCTGTGTTAGCACAAGTTTGTATCGTTTTTAAGCATGACACAACTGTGTGTGATCCCTCTATACAAATGTGTTTGGGCGATGTCAGACGGTGCAAGTCAGGAGTAGGGCAATGTCCTTCAGGGGGAGAGAGGTGTTAGTCAGGAGGAGGGAGGTGTCAAGTCAGGAGGCGTCAGTTAGGACAGGTGTTTTTCAGGTGGAGTAGGAGGAGGGAGACAGGTGTCAAGTCAGGAGGAGGGAGGTGTCAAGTCAGGAGAGAGGTGTCAAGTCAGCATGAGGGAGGTGTCAAGTCAGGATGGGATGTCTAGTGAGGAGGGAGGAGATGTCAAGTCAGGAGGAGGGAGGTGTCAAGTCAGGAGGGAGGAGATGTCAAGTCAGGAGGAGGGAGGTGTCAAGTCAGGAGGGAGGAGGTGTCAAGTCAGGAGGGAGGAGGTGTCAAGTCAGGAGGGAGGAGGTGTCAAGTCAGGAGGAGGGAGGTGTCAAGTCAGGAGGGAGGTGTCAATTCAGGAGGGAGGTGTCAAGTCAAGAGGGAGGAGGTGTCAGAATGAAGGAGGTGTCAAGTCAGGAGGAGGCAGGTGTCAAGTCAGGGGACAGGTGTCAAGTCAGGAGGAGAGAGGTGTCAAGTCAGGAGGGTGGAGGTGTCAGAAGGGAGGAGATGTCAAGTCAGGAGGAGGGAGGTGTCAAGTCAGGAGGGAGGTGTCAAGTCAGGAGTGAGGAGGTGTCAAGTCAGGTGGGAGGTGTCAAGTCAGGAGGGAGGTGTCAAGTCAGGAGGAGGGAGGTGTCAAGTCAGGAGGGAGGAGGTGTCAAGTCAGGAGGAAGGAGGTGTCAAGTCAGGTGGTGGGTGTCAAGACAGGAGGAAGGAGGTGTCAAGTCAGGAGGGAGGTGTCCAGTCAGGGAGGAGGTGTCAAGTCAGGAGGGAGGAGGTGTCAAGTCAGGAGGGAGGCGTCAAGTCAGAAGGGAGGAGGTGTCAAGTCAGGAGGGAGGTGTCAAGTCAGGAGGGAGGAGGTGTCAAGTCAGGTGGGAGGTGTCAAGTCAGGAGGAGGGAGGTGTCAAGTCAGGAGGAGGGAGGAGGGAGGTATCAAGTCATGAGTAGGAAGGGTTTGTCAAGTTAGCGGGAGGGAGGTTTTAAGTCAGGAGGAGGGAGGAGGTGTCAAGTCAGGAGGAGGGAGGTGTCAAGTCAGGAGGGGGGTGTCAAGTCAGGAGGAGGAAGGTGTCAAAACATGAGTAGGAAGGGTTTGGCAAGTCAGGAGGGAGGTTTTAAGTCAGGAGGGGGGGGGGGGGGGGGGGGGAGGAGGGAGGTGTCAGGTCAGGAGGAAGGAGGTGTCATGTCAGGATGGTGGTGTCAAGTCAGAAGGAAGGTGACAGTTAGAAGGAGATCGTGGAAACAAAAAATGGGTTCACCATTATCTAGACCATTGTCACAGTCAACACCGACAAGGCCTAAACTGCTGCACACTCAGTATGGACAATCACACTCACTCGGTGTTTCTGAAACGTATATTGTTGTAGCAATAAAAAAAATATCAGATTTTTTGTTATTTTCTTGGAATAGAACACAAGTATCCGGTGAAGACCGTGAGTTATCTCTCTGTATCATCAACTTTATGGAAGATGCTGACTCGCCAAGGTTCTGTCCCTTATCAATTACCTGTAACCGCTCTCGTACTCAGGGGTCAGTGTTACAGGGAAGGCCACGGTGCAATCACTTGCAATCTGATCCCATGGTTACACGTGTGATTAGATATTGTTTATAATTACAGCGGCGTTCGCCGTGTTGGGCGCTAGTGAAGCAAATGTCACCGCCGTCAAGTCCACGTGTAGACGGAGGAGTTACCCCGCCACGGCGCGGCCACATGAACGCTCATTTCACATTTACATTAGAATATACAAACATATATTTTATACACAGACAGAGACGGTCGGTATTAGAACCATATGTCAAAAGTGTGCCGTCTTGCCGACTGTCGACACCACGCTGGAGGTAGGTTTAGACGCCGGGCTGAATATCTCGCCCGCAGACTCGCCTGCCTTGATCCTCCCGCGTTCTCCTCCTGACTTGCCACATTGAAGAAACGGTGTAGGCCGTGTGCCACTGTACTGCTGGACCGCCATACGCCACGCAACCTCCAGCTTATTGTCTACGTTTTTTTAACAAGCATTTCTGGGATTTTGATCCATCATTCGTCGTTGACATATTTAATGTGTGGCCATCAGCAGGTTTACATGAAATGTATTGTCTTGCCTGATAATGTACGTGTTTGCTGACAGGACAAAACACCGGCAACGTCCTTGTTAATTAGAAAGTGTGTAGTTATGGCAAACCCAAAATTTATTACACCTACAACAGTCTCTTCTCACAGGAGTCCATTAAACCAATATGCCGTCTGCTGGCAGCTGTTCTAATTAGAAATAATTGCCGACTGCAGGGTGTAGTTGGTTATTCTTTTTTCCGACACTTTCACGGACTATTTATCAACACAATTCCTGGAGTTTCATTACAAGGAGTACCAGTTTGATACTTTATGCGGTCTTTCATTACGGTGGGTAATCAACATTTGACGTGTGTGATGTACTGTCGGGCGACCACCATCCCCCTCCCGCTGGGGTCTATCAGTGCTGTTCAGAGCCACACATTGAGTCGAGTCAGCTAACTGCCCCCTGCCTCGGGAATAAAGACTTGAAGCCAAGGTATTAGCCAGGAGATATAACCGTTAACAACTCGGTGACGTCATTGACAAATCCAAGAGTTTCCGATTTGAAAATGGGACAATGTGATTTTTTCATCCTGGTATCTCAGTGATCTCGCGTTTTCTAATGTTCTAGTTTATATTCGTGTTATTACTCGCTAGAGTGAACTGTAAATGTGTGAGTGGCGTTTTTCGCCACATGCAGAGCGTGTTGCTGCGTGAGGTGACCGGATGTGTGTGCAGACGAGTTTGTCTGATATAGCAACTATGTCATCACTGGCCGTGAACACAGGTAGCGCCATGCTCTCCGTTGTGGTGATGGTGCTTTATGCCTCTCAAACAGACGGGCGATTTACACCCCAGGACAAAAGTAACCTACAGAATCGAACAGGTGAGTGTTTGACGTTTCTTACTGATGTAGAAGGTTCGTAGGGTGTTTAGGTTTTCAGTAAATTATAATGTCAGAGGTGTTATGATAAGTTGAAATATGTAAACACAGTTAGGTGCTTGTATCGTGGCCCTTGCCACATCGGTGTGTTCTGCTCAGAATTCTTCTGCATCCAATTACACAGACGAACAATGCCGCGACTCCCACCATAGAGCTGATGAACTCCACGTAACACGAAGTCGCGTACAAAGAACTTTCGAATTTAACAAAAATATTCAATCCATTCATAAGTGGTAATAAAAGCGTTATTGCACAGTGGAGTACTTCGATATTCGACACTTCAGGACCACTTATTTAAAGCAGATTCGTGACTGTTTCTGTGAACCTGCCCTCACATTAATGGACGAAGCGGTATCAGTTGTCTTAGAAGAACCAACACAAACCCAATTCCTGAGGACTACATTCAGCTCAAACAGCCCTGATCAGGTCACTGACCACGCAACACTGACATACATATCATATTTAGTCATAACTAGTCTCTTTTGGTCGTGAAACTCGAGCGGAGTTTGTTAGCCTTACAATGTAACTCTACACCCTATGCCCTTGTAACTCTATGTGTTTTTATCAGCCACGCTGTTGAGCCAAATCACTCACTACGAAATGGTCATCCCCGTGTTGGTGGACGAGAGAGGCAAGTTCCTTAGTTACGACGTCCGTCAACAGCACGTGTTGTCAAGGAGGCGGCGTGACGTCACTTCCCGTAGACGACACCGTCAGAAACAACGCCGCAGACGTCGCCCCAAGAGGCTCTACCTGCAGAGGTTCCCCGTGGAGGAGGAGGGGAGGGTATTTTACAAACTCTCAGCTTATGGAAAAGAGTTTTATTTCAACTTGACTCTGAATACAAAGTTCATGTCAACGAAGTTTGTGACGGAGATATGGGGGTCTAACAGTATTGAGCGCAAAGCCAACGAGGTCCACGACTGTCATTACACCGGTTACAGCAGTTGGCCGGATGAGTCGCGCGCAGCCATCAGTAACTGTATGGGCCTGGTAAGTCGTTAGACTCCCAATGATATATGTTTAGTTATGTACAACACAGTTGATCTACTGTCTGTTTATTTCATATTCTAATGCAAACCTGTTTTGTCTACACATTCCACTCTACCTTCCAAACCACACGGTACGTCTAATACAAAATCCTGACCTCACACGTTGACGCGCGCCACATATTTTGCACCAAGTTTCACACAGATCCCCAAGCTCCGCACAGCGATATCGCGATCCCTACCAAACCTGAACGTATGCATCATGCGGATCCCATCAAAAATCACATAATCGTCCCTGGTTGATTTGCAATTTAAAATCTTCTTCGTAGAAACGGAGTTTAATTGCAATCTTTTCCGACGAATCTATTTTCAGCCAGAGAGCTTCTAACAGGATTGCCCTACTGATGGTGGTCGCTAGGTGGAAGTCATAACTAGTTTTGGAATTATTCACAAAACCAACCCAAATCCGATGATATACCGTCAGTCAGGTGTCTCGTGACGTTAAAAGACAAGCTGATTCTATCATATACCGCCAGTCAGGTGTCTCGTGGCGTTAAAACACAAGCTGATTCTATCATATACCGCCAGTCAGGTGTCTCGTGGCGTTAACACACAAGCTGATTCTATCCTATACCGCCAGTCAGGTGTCTCGTGGCGTTAAAACACAAGCTGATTGTATCCTATACCGCCAGTCAGGTGTCTCGTGGCGTTAACACACAAGCTGATTGTATCCTATACCGCCAGTCAGGTGTCTCGTGGCGTTAAAACACAAGCTGATTGTATCCTATACCGCCAGTCAGGTGTCTCGTGACGTTAAAACACAAGCTGATTCTATCATATACCGCCAGTCAGGTGTCTCGTGGCGTTAAAACACAAGCTGATTCTATCCTATACCGCCAGTCAGGTGTCTCGTGGCGTTAAAACACAAGCTGATTCTATCCTATACCGCCAGTCAGGTGTCTCGTGGCGTTAAAATACAAGCTGATTGTATCCTATACCGCCAGTCAGGTGTCTCGTGACGTTAACACACAAGCTGATTGTATCCTATACCGCCAGTCAGGTGTCTCGTGGCGTTAACACACAAGCTGATTCTATCATATGCCGCCAGTCAGGTGTCTCGTGGCGTTAACACACAAGCTGATTCTATCATATACCGTCAGTCAGGTGCCTCGTGGCGTTAACACACAAGCTGATTCTATCATATGCCGCCAGTCAGGTGTCTCGTGGCGTTAACACACAAGCTGATTCTATCATATGCCGCCAGTCAGGTGTCTCGTGGCGTTAACACACAAGCTTATCCTAAGGGATTCTAAGTCTCGTTGCGGGCCTGGCACTTGTTTCTGAACTCAGTGGGACTATATGTGTTGTCCATGAGTCAATAACTTCAAACAAATTACACGTATACAACAAGCAGATCTGGCGTTGCCCTGCATTAAGCATGTAGCCAGGGGAGGGGAGGGGTTTAATGTAGGAGACATGCTGATGCATAGCTAATCATGATCCCCTTTGTTTCTGTGATCATAAATCAAAGAGGTAGACATTTTCTGAAGTAATTTTACAATGGGAGTTGGCGATACATAATACCGATTGAAGACTGGTAGCATAGCACAGGAAGTTCCCGTAAAACTCACTGACAGCAGGAGATGCATGTCGAGCTCTACAGAGATTGTCCTGTTCTAAATTCACAAAGAAATGTGTTTAAAGGAAAATATCATCTTCGATAACACAAGCAAAGCTAAGCCTGTATCGACAAACAGCGAAAACTGCGCTGATAATATGTGTGACTGGTGTTGGCTTAGTCGTCTAAGATGCTGCGATTCGCTATGACACCTATGATCCAGTCTCGCCCCGATTGTTTCTAGATTTCTCACCACCATACCGTCCTCATGGGTTTCACCAAAGTTGTAAATGTCTGAAACCTGCATCACTTCGGGCTTTCCTCCCACAAGAAGCTGACACGCCGTGATATAACCGGAATACTGTTAAAAGCGGCGTATAGGTCTTCACCAACACATGATTGCCGTCAAAGGCGACTATGCTTGTAAGAGGCGACTAACGGGATCGGGTGGTTAGGCTCGCTGATTTGGTTGATGCATGTCATCGTATCCCAATTGTGTGGATCGATGCTCATGATATCAATCACTAGATTGTCTGGTCCGGACTCGATTATTTACAGGCCGCCGTCATACAGCTGGAATATTGCTGAGTGCGGCGTTAAACAAGAAACAAACAATCAATCAATCAATCAGTCAAAGCGGCGTTAAACCAAGTTCACTCTTCATGACTGGCATTGCCCACAGTGAAACCCTGTTAGACCGGACACCCTGCATTCCGGACAATTCATGCATGGATAGGACCCCAGTACCCCAAATAGGACCCCAGTACCCCAAAATAGGACCCAAGTACCCCAAATAGGACCCCAGTACCACATTTGTGTCGCTAGAGCAGAATATAACATGAATCGGTCGGTCAGACAGAGATTTAATTGCCTGCTGTCATCGCACCCAGGTGGCCTATCGCTGCTCACTGTTTTGTCTGGTCCAGATTAGATTATTTACAGTGATATGCATGTAGAAGTTGGATGTAAACATGACATTATTGTGTATTATTGTGGATAACAAGTTCTTTGTTGTACACACACAGCAGGCCACGGCTATTTCTTGTCCTTCATCATAACGGTAAATGTGTTGTCGGAACTTACTTGGCAAATTGCCACGAACTGTGAAGGTGTTGAACTGTTGATGTCTTGATAATATTTTATATATCTGGTGTATAGACAACCAATAGACAGAATATGACGCGACGAGAATGCAACACTTTTAACACAACCCGGAAATAGGTTTAAATGACCCACCAGTGTCTTTGCAGCCACCCAAAGGAAAACACCCAAATTCTAAACAAACAGATTGATGGGAATATACCCATCTGGACGCATCCTGGATCCATAGTGGATCATGGCATATCATATTTTATCCATGAAGTTAAGTTAATTTTTATAGCCAAAGCAGGCATTTCTATAACAGATCGCTGGAGGCGTGTTAGTTGTGCTGCACGACATGACGGTGTACGCGTGAACGTGGTGTTGCACGACATGACGACGGTGACGTGAACGTGGTGCTGTATGACATGACGGCGGTGACATGAATGTTGTGCTGCACGTCATGACGGTTGAGACGTGAACGTAGTGCTGCATGACATGACGAAGGTGGCAGGAACGTGATGCTATACGACATGACGGCAGTGACGTGAACGTGGTGCTGCACGACATGTCGGCGGTGACGTGAACGTGATACTGTACGACATTACGGCGGTGACATGAACGTGGTGCTCCACGGCGGTGACGCGAACGTGATGCTGCACGACATGGCGACGGTGATATGAACGTGGTGTTGCACGACATGACGGCGGTGACGTGAACGTGGTGCTCAACGGTGGTGACGCGACCGTGGTGCTGCACGACATGACGGCGGTGACGTGAACGTGGTGTTGCACGACAGGACGGCGGTGACGTGAACGTGGTGTTGCACGACATGACGTCTGTGACTCCCCTGTGCATCCTTTGTATGAAAGTGTTATCGCGTCTTACCCCGTCTCACACTCGCAATTATACAGACTGATTCCAAATGCATCGCTTTACGTTTATTTGTTTGGTCTAGTGAACGCTGCACGTGGCAACGCTACATCATTCCACTTTCGTCGACGTTCACCCCGCGCGTGCCATCGACGTCGGCGTATGTAGGATTAATGGACTAAAAATGAGGGGTCAATGCTGGTAATACTTGGGGGAGACTGTGCATTGTAGTGAGGTATCGGTTGCGGCCGACGTGCAGACAGTTCTCTACAAACTAGGTGAACATGTGGTCGGACAGGCCGCCGAGTCTGGCGCTGTGTGGAGCTATCTAGGTCGGTGCGGATCCTGAATCAGCTCTTCAGTGTGAGCGGCTTCGTTCAACTGTTGGTTGGATATACATACTTAATTAGCGGATATCGCTTTGTGCTGTTTATATGTGGCTGCTGTGCTGGACATGATTATTATTCTACTCCCTTTGAAGTGTCCGTGTGGTCTGTGTGTAGGAAGCGATGTAGGGAGCTGCTGGGTTGGCTCGCCAGTGCCATGAGGATAGCCGTTCACAGTTGTTTAAAATGGGAGTCAGGTACTTTCAGCATACAAGTATACAAGTTTGTATGATATTCGAGACATTGTATGATATTGGCGACAAAGTATGATTTATATGACGTTTTATTATACACGTATATATTACGTTGTATGAAGTACCTGACGTTGTATGATATATATATGTGATGTATGATATACATGACGTTGTATGGTATACATGACGTTGTATGATATATACTCTACGTTGCATGATAGAGGCGACGTTGTATGATATATACTCGACGTTGTATGATATAGGCGACGTTGTATGATATATACTCGACGTTGCATGATATAGGCGACGTTGTATGATATAGGCCGGCGGTGTTGTACGATATACCCGACGTTGCATGTTATACACGGCGTTGCATGTTATACACGGCGTCGCACGATATACCCGACGTTGCATCTTATACACGGTGTCGCACGATATACCCGACGTTGCATCTTATACACGGTGTCGCACGATATACACGACGTTGCATCTTATACACGGCGTCGCACGATATACACGACGTTGCATCTTATACACGGCGTCGCACGATATACACGACGTTGCATGTTATACACGGCGTCGCACGAAATACCCGACGTTGCATGTTATACACGGCGTCGCACGAAATACCCGACGTTATATGACGCACTTGAGGTTGCATGACGTACCCGAAGTGTTGTGTTGTTCGTGACATTATCGGATATACCCGACGCTGTGTGTTGCACAAGACATTATCGGATATACCCGACGTTGTGTGTTTTACAGACATTATCGGATATGTCCGACGTAGAGTGTTGTACAGACATTATCGGATATACCCGACGTTGTGTGTTGTACAGACATTATCGGATAT